TATTAAGTAGCATTATTATTTTGATCTTTTTTAGGTTGGCCATTGCGTTGAAATTGGAGTTCCCATGTTAATTTTGTTTGTAGCCTTTTCTCAGGTACTAATCAAATTAACCTGTGACAGCCAAAAAGGGAATGAATACTTCAAATATCTAGGGCGAACTTTTGATGCTTCACTTTAATCCGATGCTATCCTCTGACAGATACATTTCTCTGTTGAAAATATAATAATTGTGTAATGATAATTGCCGTTTACATACAGTATTTGAAAAATTTTCATACAAGACAACTACCAATACTAGAGCGATTTGCTCTACTTATATCAACCACAGTGATATGGGCATATGCACATCTCTTAACAGCAAGTGGAGCATACAAACACCGTCCTGACTTAACCCAACGTAATTGCAGAACAGACAGGGCCAACCTCATTTCCTCTGCTCCATGGTTGGTACCAAAGCCATCTCTCTAGTAGTCTATATTTTTACCCATTTTGTTAACATTGACCCCCAGTTTAAGCAACTGCAAATATAAATGTTTTCTTGAAAAAGGAAACTTTTATTACAGCGAAAATACAAAATTGTAAATGTGAATTTGTTATTGAAAAAAATCCATTTTAAATTATTTAAAATTTGCTCTAAGAAATGATGTTTATAAAGCCATATTTTTAAGGAAAGTATTAACCTTTAAAGCTAAGTTTAAGCACCTCTATATATTGAATGCTTAAACTCAGTTCTAAAAGTTAAAGTTAATAAAATCATATTTTTAATCATAGTTAAAGTGCAGGCAGCACTTTTGAGCTATTGCCAATGACTTGATCATCTTGTCCACAGGGTAAAGATCCCATATCCTCTTGAGTGGGGTGCTCCTACATTTGATGCCGGTCATGCTTTTGGAATGATGGCTGCTGTTTTAGTCTCCTTAATTGAGGTATTATTATATAATATATAGACACACACATAGAAGATGATCCTAATCCTAATGGGAATTCAAATCTATTATTGAATAATTATATTATTTAAATAACAATGATGACAGTCAACTGGGGCATACAAAGCAGCATCAAGACTAGCGAGTGCAACACCACCTCCTGCTCATGTTCTGAGCCGTGGTATTGGTTGGCAGGGAATTGGAATCTTGCTGAATGGCCTTTTTGGAACACTCACTGGTGCAACAGTTTCTGTGTAAGGGCTATTCTTCATCCCTCATAGTTTTCACTTTTATTGTGGAACGCAAATAGATATTCTCATAGGACTATCCTCCATGACAGAGAAAATGTCGGGCTTCTTGGAAGCACTCGTGTTGGAAGTAGAAGGGTCATTCAAATTTCGGCTGGCTTTATGATATTCTTCTCAATGTTAGGTGATTGGCAAACTATGGAGTATATTAACCTAACTAAATTAATGTCCTTTCACAATATTTATTTCATTGTTACAATTCATCACTTGTCTCTTATTCAGGAAAATTTGGAGCTTTATTTGCATCAATACCCTTCCCCATTTTTGCTGCTGTTTACTGTGTTTTGTTTGGCCTTGTGGGTGAGTGTCACCATTTTTCACCTTTGCTTTTATTTGAGCATCTCTTTGCTTCCTCTCTCTTCTTATGACAATTAATCTTTTTGTTTTTTTCAGCTTCTGTGGGGCTATCATTTTTGCAGTTCACTAACATGAACTCAATGAGGAACCTCTTTATTACTGGTGTTGCCCTTTTCTTAGGTTTTTCTGTTCCTGAGTATTTCAGAGAATACACTGCCAAGGCCCTTCATGGTCCTACTCATACAAAGGCTGGATGGGTGAGTTTGATGTTTTATCTACATTCTTGTAATATATAATATATTTCAATTTTCAATTGGAGTGTGAAACTGAAATGCTTAAGCCAAAGTTACACGTGCATTTAGATATATTGCTTAATTAAGCACTTATTCAATAAGCTTTCTTTTCATATAATAGCTTATGCCATAAATTTAATTATACAGATTATTAAAATAAGCTAAAAATAACTTATTTTGATAAGTTATACCAATAAACTTAACAAAACAAGTAAAAAGGACTTGTAAGAATTATAAACTATTTTCTGAAACTGTCTATAAACTCTTCCAAACAGGCCTAAGTTGTTAAATGAGATCAAATCAATGCTTATTACTTACCAGGTAAAAGTATTTATCCTGATTTGTCCTAAATAGTTATTCCAACAACTTGTTTATCTCAACATGAATCAGAAAAGGACTTATAAGAAATGAGGTATGTTAAAGTTTAATTGTAAAGTACGAGACTTGAGTATTATCAGGCAATTTGATGCAATCTGAAGCATATCATTCTATTTAAGGAAGTGATACTAATTTTCTTTCCTTTGTTGTTTTTTCAGTTCAATGATTTCCTTAATACCATTTTCTTCTCATCCCCGACTGTTGCATTGATTGTTGCTGTGTTCTTGGACAACACTCTTGATTACAAGGATAGCGCCAAAGATAGGGGAATGCCATGGTGGGCCAAGTTTAGAACATTTAATGGAGATAGCCGGAATGAAGAGTTCTACACCCTCCCTTTCAACCTCAACCGGTTTTTCCCTCCATCTTAGGGAATTTATTTGTACCATGAACAAAGATGTTAGAGGAAAATCATCATTTCCAGAAAAGGGTTATATTTTGTTGGTGTGAGAGTGAAGCAATAGTGATCCCTTTGTATCATATTGGTGAAATTTATATGAGGAAATTGATCATAGGTTTGACACACACCTCTTCATCTCCTTTTTCTTTTTTTTTTTAAAATTATTGTTAAATATTCAAGTCAAGAAAATAAAAAGGGTCGTGTGTTCTTCAAACATTTTTAAAATTAGTTAACTTCCAAAATGTTGTCATAATAATATTCATTAAGGTTTCACGGCAAGTAGCAATAACTTTAGTTAAAGACAAAAAGGCTTGTCCTCTTTTTTTGGCAGTATTAATTGAAAAATGATTATTTTAAATGTTTTTGTTCTAGTTTTTTGAAAATAAAAGATTGATGACTCTACGATCTTAAAATTTTAAATCACGAGAAATAAAATAATCAAGTTGATGGAGAGATAGATAGAAGAAAGTGTTCTAAAAAGTATTATATGAAGAATATAATTTTTTCGTTTTGTAAAAAGTATTCTATAAAAATGAACTTTGTTATTCATCTGGAAAAAAAAAATCTAGGCTTAGACTAACTAAAATTAAAACTACCACAAAGATTGAGAAAAATATAAATATTATAGTTAAAATATTTTCACTTATCGTGAAATAGATTTGATAAGAAAATAGTTATATAGTTATTTAAAACTAATTTATAATTTGGATTAATAAAATTTTTTGGACTTTTAAAAAATTTAATTTTTTATTTGGCCTTTCAATATTAATTTTTTCATAAATTGTTTTTCTTATCAAATAATTCCTCTACTTTAAAAAAATTGAAATTTTCAAAAATTACAATTTTTCATCTAGACCAAATAATACAGTTGCGATATTTAAAGATATCAAAACTAAAATAAAACTCATGATATTTAAAAAATTACAAAAAATCAATCAAGTAAAAAAGAATAGTCTTGTTTTTAAAAAAATAGAAAAAAAGAAGAAAATTTTGTGAATTATTGAGAAATTAAATACCTAATTAACCCTATAATTTGTATTACTTATATCAACAATCATGAAATAAAATTGATAGTGTGTTTTTGGGGCTGTGGTTTGACTTGTAAGTTGTAAAATTAGAAAGAAGAGATGGTTAGTGATGTCTCAGTAGGAAGCAGCTTTACCCTCTGTGATGTACCTATGTCCTTGTCGTTGGATGAGCTACATATATAATTCCAATTTTGATCAGCACAAATCAAAATCCTAATCAAAGATGAAATAATAAAAACATGCTTATTTTAAAATTAGATAGAATTATATTTAAATTAGTTTCAAACGCAAATTTTATATTAAAACTTAAGTCACAAATAGATAAAGAGAGAGTGGACAGTGCTAGAAAGCTCCATTTCATCTAATACAGAGATGACCAAAAGAAAAGCCCATGTCTTTGTGCCATCTTACATGAAACATGTCACATATTTACATTCAATAAGTTCAGTCAATCAAATATCTCCAAATTTTGCACCCAATAATTATATTTAAACATATTTTTTCCGACTAAACTAATTTTTTAGGTACTTCAAGTATTATTTTTAATTAATAATAAGAGTTTACTTCAATAAAAAAAAATAAGTACTTAATATTATCATAGATTATTATATTTTTAATTAAAAATAATATTAAAAATATTTAAAGAACTATATTTAAGTAAAAATAAAAATACTCTTTTTTACCAAATGAAATCTCATCTTACCATTGGTCATATACTTTAATTAATCAAATTTATTTAAGTTTAATTTGCAGTTTTAAGTTTGAATCTAATTAAATATAATTATGTTAATTATTTAAAAGAATAATTTTTATTGTGATTCTATCTAATTTGAATAAATCTATCTTCTTTAAAAGATATCTATAGTTCAATAAAAAAAAATATCATATTAACTTTACGATTAATAAAAAATAAACTCAACTCTGCAAATATGTGCTATAACCTACTGTCCAAAAAAGAGTATGTACACAAAAAAGTTATGATTTTTAATTTATTGCACATGCACATTATATAATAATAATAATAATAATAATAATAAAATAAATTATTTATGAATGTAATGTACACGATAAGTTTGATTAGTACGTCACCATGGAAATATTTGTGATTAATTAGCTAAAAATGGTGCTAAAAGTTAACATGCATATGATAATACATTTATAAACACTCATAATTTTACTGTATATTTAGATTTTTATATGGCGGTGGCACAATCAAATTTGAGTATGTTTAACGAGATTATGTCTAGATGCGTTCAACAAAAATCAAGTTTATTTCTTAAAATAGATAAATAGAATTTATTTTTTGTAAAAAAAACAATTTAACTTTTGTATATAGATCATGAATAAGATATAATACAAGGAAAAAAATCAATGGCTAAGGAAATTCAATCTCAGAAGTGTTTTATATTAACAAGGGTTGAAGTTTTCTAATGCAAGGACTAGCTAATGGTGTTTGCACATGCACTCTGGGCACCTGGGATTTCTATAAATGCTTCGACCATAACTCCTAATAGCAGCTCTCTGACCTTCCAGAATCATTTTCTTTACTCTGAGTTCAAAACTGTTCCATGCTATGGTCCCATTCTCCCTCAAAATTGATGCTAGCCTTGTCTTGTTAGGCCGCAATGTAGGAGCATGAGCACCACCATAGTAGGTTCTGAATCCAGATACCAATGATGAAAGTTGGCTACCAGAGTCAGTCATGGCAAATACATCAGCACTTGCACATGCTATGAAATCCAAAGCAGCCAGCTGCATTCACATCAAGTTTACCTCGTTACTGTAATTCAGGCTAGTTTGGAAATTATATAATCTTCATGTATGTCAGATCAAAACCTTTGTTTTATCAGATGGTAAAAAAAGTGTAGGAGTAGATATCAACTTTGAATTGCCAATGAGTTTCTATATTACTTTTATTGTGGTTCATTGGTTTTAGATTTGAATCCCATTTAAACTTCAATGACAAAGCAAACATTTTAGTTTATAGAATTATTGTATGAAAATGCACTAACCCTTTTAGCATTGTGACAACATTTAGTTGACATTAACAATTAACAATCACAGATAAAAATCGGTGCTAATAATTTTTCCCTCCTCATTATAAACTAAGAGGAGAGCCTATTTGACTCTGTACCTTAACAGGTACTTGGGTATATTTTGTAGTCCTTCATTATAATCTAGCAACAGATTGTCAAGAACATGACTAAATAGTGAACAATAAAGGAAGATCTGAAGAAAGGTATTGCAGTAAAAAAGTTTATTGAAGGGCATTATTGTTAAAAAAAAAAAAAAAAGAGCAAAAGCCAAATAATTACCTGAGAAGAAAAATTCCTGAAAGGCGCCAATTCACTGGGTGTAAGCAAGTTTTCTTTTGCTATCACGTTAGGATAGAGTCTGGTGAAGGGCTCCATTCTTGAGTTTCCACCATAAATATGAGAACCAGCCAAGTATATGTAAGTTCCACGTTTGAAACCAAGACCTGCTAGAACAATTGCTGCTTCTTCTGGTGTCGAGGGGCATCTTCCCATTTTTCTCAAATCCGTTGGTGAAATAGAGCTATAAACATCAATAGCACATGCCACAAAATATTAAAGAAACTACAAGGATACTTATCATTGAAAACATTGTGCTGAAAATAATATGTTCTTATCTGTGAAAAATTGCATGTGATAAAAAGTAGGTATAGTAAATTTTTATTGAAAACTGTAGCATTTCAAGGCACTAATTTTTATAATTTTTAATAAAAACTTGATATACGTAACTTCTTATGATGTGTAATAGTATAAACATGCATACGTTGAATTCTTCTTCAAGCGCTCAAGAAAAAGAGGGAAATGTTTTTCTCTGTAGGCTTGAAGTTCCTTTCTCTCGTCTTCCCCACCTCCAAATTCACATAAGGAATAGGCCACCATATCTATCTCAAATCTCATGTGCAAAGCAAGGTATTTTGTTGAGCCCCTTGTAGCTTCATGATTTTCCTTGTTGTGGATGAACTTCCCCAACAATTGAGTGTCTAACATGCTTCGTCGAGCACTGTATTTTCTAATCCTTTTGATCAATAACGCACCAACTTGTTGAATCTTTGGCACGAACTTCAAAGCATGGAAATTGCATTTGCATCTTAACCTCTGCAATTATTTCAAGCACATATATAAAGGTACCCTGAGTGCATATGAGATACCTTAAACCTTAAGGAACACTAAACTACTATAATACAAACAAATGAAGAGTAAAGATCAAAAGCAACACGTAATCATTTAGTGTATGTATTTTATTACTGCTAGCGTGTTTGATTTCACGTTTAAATGCATAGGGATCTACATTTATTTCAATACTACTAGTTGTAGCTTCTACGTTGAATCCACATTACAAGTTTTCTAACATGTTTCCAAATGCATATAACGAGGATGAAGAATATCTCTTTAAATGATAGAGATTAACAGAAAATGATGTAGTTTGTAAAGGTAAGTATAACATAATTAATCATATTAGATAAAACTAGACAGACAAGGAAACTTTGTGACCTGAATATTAAAAGGCATTGGATCAAAACCAAGTCGATTTCCAAATCCCAGGAAGTGAACAATTCTATTTCTCAAAAGAAGAGGAAGCACACTTTTAATGTAGTCATCAGAAGTGGCCTCCTTCGCAAGATCTGCATCTGTAATCTGAAATGCAGTGTGTTTATTGACGTTGTTATAACAATTGCAATCTGTGTTATGAAGTACATCAGATGTAAGATTACAAACCTGGCTACCAATCGCTTCAACATTCAGAGATTTCATATGAGGTGGAAGTTCCTTCTCTATACTGATATCATCCTTCAGAATATTCATGAAATACTCCTCCTGGTATATGTCACCGAACTGGCTGCATTTTTTTTAATTAAGTATTTAATTGTAAATTAATTGTTGATGTTGATTGAAAAGACAAACTTTTCAATGAAAAATGTAGCAATATATGGGTAAGATTGTAACCACAGAACATTAAAAAAAAAAAAAAAGCACATCGGTTGGAAATCAATCAAAATGTGATAAACCACTACATATCGTTCTGGAACTTGATATTTTGATAATTATGGTAATTCTTGAAGTATTGAAATCAGATGAAATATTTTCTTATTTATTATAATTAATTTCAACTTTCACATTCTGATCAACATAAGTTGAAAACTTTTCAGTTTTTACTTTAGTACTCAACATCTATTATACCTTGGATCCTTCCATACGTTGCTGTAAAGAAATTTTGGAATAACTAGAGTTGCATTAAGGAGAGATGCCACAGCAACAGCATTGCAAATCTGTAATCACTACAGTAGTCTCATTACTTCCATTACTGGGAGATACCACAAGCATGCCAAAAAGAAAGGATAAAAGATCATACATGATTATGCGTTAGTATTAATTACATGCTCGATATCTATTGGCTATAATGACACAGTATTATGTCAGTCCAGAGTGTTAATTTCGTTGTTTAAGATCCAACACTTCCTTTTCTACTGTACAACTGAAAGTCAATGAAGGAAAAACCTTTGTTTGCAATAAGTGCGGTGCCCTTAAGGTACTTAGTCTCGTTTATTTCATATAAAACTTAATTTCTTATCAAATGTTCAAGGCAATTAGTGGAGACAATAGTAGGACTATTTGTGTGTATTTTCTAGCAATGTGCCATGCTGATATTTTGAATATCGGAAGTGATATGAATTAATTGCCAATACTTACAGCAACTCTTTGTTGATTAAGACCACCATTTGCACTGACTAAGATGTAGCCATTATTTTTCACAGGCTTCCCTGTCAGATATTGTAAACTAATTACGGAAATAGTATACTAGGCAAATGATTACTGATAATTAGTTTCAATTTAAACTTCATGTTGCTGATAATAGAATAAGAAATAAATACATACTGTAAATATGTTATGCATGTGTGATAATTCTGTCAATGCATTAGAAAAGTACACATACCCGGATTGGCTTGAACTTTTCTTTCTGCACAAGGTTCCCATGAAGATGCATGCCGATATGGTTCCACCCATAAATTGGATGACTCTTGCTTGAACTCTTTCTATAGTAACAAAACCTCAGATTAGACAGAAATGAACTTCAAATATAGTACAGTATCTAAAAGATTAACACATGATCTAAAAAGACATGTATCGATCTGGAAATTTGATCCTAACCTCTGCAAGAGCACTGGAAGCCAAGTTTAGAAGCCGACCATACATATATACTGGCGATTGTTTGTTGCTGATGTAGGAATCTCTACCCTTTTCATTAAAATATACGTTAGTTATCTGATCCCAATTAGCAAGTATTAACGCAAAATATAACAAATTTTTTAAGTACAAGGTAACTTGAATTTTACTGACTTGGGTTATGCACCCATAGCTTAAGATATCTGTGTTCAAACGTTCACAAACATTACATAAAAAACATAGATAAGTAGTTTGCAGCAGATTAAAGACTATGACATGAATATGATTAAGAGAATTCAAGAGGGTGCTAATAAGCAAGAGATGATGTACTTGTACCTTAAACACACTTGAATTATTTGAGGCAGTACTGGGTTGAAGACTTGTAAACTCAAAACAGGAAATGATTAGAGAATCAAGAAGGAAAAGGCAACCCAATAATCCAAACATGACAACAATGGCCCTGATGTGCTTTTTGCCAACATAGAGCCCCCTACAAGAATTGCATTTTGAAGAATCACTTTTCAGTCCATGAAGCAACAATGTTTTGGAATGCCAACGGCAATCAACCCCTGTCATCCTCTTCCAAGAAGGGGGATCACTGCTTGTTATCTTGTAATCTTTCATTCCTAAGATTACACTATTAGCACCCTGGAACTCAGGACGTGGACTTTTATGTGACCCTTGTTTCCCCATTATACCATTATCTATCAATGAAGCTCAAAGTAGCTGTAACTTTGCATTTAACAATTTTACATGGCTTCACCCATCTCTTTTTCCCACATGAAGATGAATAAATATTCAAAGGGCAATGACGATTGGGTGAAAGAGAGAAAATGATCACTAAAACAAGAACAATGAACTTCGGAAGCCTAAAGAAGTCTATGCTTCTGGGGTCTTGTTGACTCTTATGGCTTCCAAAACCGAACCACCAATCCATTAGAATTCAAGTTTGGTGGCAATAAGGAATTATAGAAAAGAATAGAACTTTCTTGTATGATTCCAAGTGAAGCGAAGAAGTAGGTGATGGGGATATGCAACTGAGAAAGTAGATGAATGAGTGAAATCCAAGCGAAAACAAGAAAACTAAACAATGGATTGAGAACTTACCTTATGGAACAAGAATATATCATCATCACATATATGGAACAACAACAACTTACCACCAAACAAAACAAGTGTTGGAGTACAGTTTCAGCTTCCTAGCTTTCCAGATCCATCTTTGAAAATCAAGCTAGTGACAACAGCAACAACATTTCATGGAACCTTTTTTATTTTTTCGATTCTGTTATTTATTGTTTTTAACTTTCTTTCAGCCAACATGGCTTTGTTTACGTCACGTGTCTAATCTGATGGGTCTTACCCAATTCCATATTGTTCCATTGGAGCAAAATTTCGTACTAACTCCTACTCTTCTCCGATGATTTTTCCTTCATTAATATGCTTGTTTATTTTATAATATCTATTCCACTTATATGGACACACACATTTTAAATTACGTCAAATTTTGTAAAATTATATTTTGACATTCACAAAAACTCTTCTAAACTTGTCCAAGATCAAATTAAAAAATATTATTATTAATTTATTTCAAAAATAAATCAAATCTTTTAGCAGTAAGTTTTTTCGTAACAAATTTTATTTAAAATATTAGTTTATCACTTTTACAAAAATAAATAAATATATATATATATATATTTTTATTTTTTTTTGCCAGGCTCGTAATTAACTTTTCTTAACCCTCATTTCAAATTAATAAGAATATTTTGGATAATAAACTACATGATTTTTCTAGACAAATGTGTTGTATATATATTTTATTTATTTATTTTAAAAGGGGCAAAAGCCCAAAACCGTGTTGCACTTAACTAAACAAAATAAAAAATAGGCTTCTTAAACTTATTGAAGGTTAAGTGATAAACACAGGTATAGAAAGAGTAGTTAGATGCGCAAAGTTGCTTTTTTCTCTAGTGAGGTCAAACTTGCATCAACCTTTTATTTTTATTTTTTTTTGTGGTTCAAGAAACTTGCATCAACTTAAGTTATTGAAGGGGAATTTCCTCACATTGTTGAAAGTTTGAACTCCAATGGTAAAAGATTTGTTGGTTATTAAAATATTTCATAATTAATTATTTACTAGATACTATTAACAAAAAATAAATATTCATTGTTTTATAAAAAAATAATTTTCCTAAACCAGTGTATGGATAAAAAAAATTAAAGAAATAATGCATTTGCTAAAGGGTTTTTAAATGATTTTGTTTAAATTAATTGTTTGGATATCAAAATAAAAGAATTTTAAAAACAGAACATTGATGTTTAGTTTTTTTTTTTATCCAATAATCATGAATTTTCGAATCAATAATAATCGTCGATTTGAATATAAACTTCTCTAGAGTAAATTTTGAAAAATCTTTTTAGTTTCTTCTTCCTTATGTACACTTTTATTCGTTAATTTTTCTTTATACAATTTTTTCCTTCTCTATCTTCATTACTAATTCAGTTCATCCTTTATCCTTCCTTCAATTTAATAATACTAATTTACATATAAAATTTATGATGTTGTAGTATGGTTATATTGTTTAAACTCTATTTGAATCACTTTCAACTAAATCAGTCATATAAAGTTAATTGAACTATGGTTTTGGTTAAGATAATATTTAAAATATTTCAAATTATCATTAATCAATCTTCTTTAACAACTGTGTTCATTTTTATTCTTAGAATAAACCCCATAAGACGACTAGCTAGTCATTGCTCCCAATTTCTTAATTGCACTTCCCAATTACAGGAGTATATAAATTAAAATAATAATCATTAACATTTTAATTTATAAATAATTGACTTTCACTTGTAATACTGAGATTTATAAAAAAACTGTTAATAACACATTATTAGTTATTAGTTAAAATTTATAAAAAATTATATAAATTATATTTTTATTTTTAATAAATTTTAATTAATAATAAAAGTATCCTTTTGTTAACCTTATCCATGTGACGTTACAACGAGATGCATAATTTATAGTATAACTGTGAAAACCTGCATAACTGGTAGCGGAACAGATTAAAAAGTGAACCCATTCGTAATCGTGATAACGAAAATGTCGATTTATTGCACCAAATGCACTATTTGAAAAAGTATAATAAATGAAAAGATTTAAACAGGTAATTAAAATTAGTTACATCATGTTAACTCAGTGTCCTAAATGCATTTCTCAAGAGAATAAGAAGAAATTTAAATTTTATTTTGAATTGTTCATACATATGTTGTGAATTCGTCAGTGTCATCACTTTTGGTTCATTTCTATATCAAACAATAAACGTTTTCTTTATTCACGTGTTAAAGGTGCAAAGTAAGTAGTGAGGTACGTTTCGTTGCTCATATCAACAGAACTTCTAATCCTAACTTTGTGTCATATTACTACAATTGTTTTTTTTTTTATCATTTTCTCAAGGGGTAAAACGTGCATCACGTTGTTTATAATAAAAAAAAATGTTGAACATAATTAATTATGATAATTTGATAAGTAATTTTGTATTTTAAAATATAAAATATTAATCATATTTTAATTTTATTAATTTATCATATTTTAAAGTTTATTTTAAACCTAAATAAACATTTTACGGTTAAAAATTGATTAATTTTTATAAAATATAATATGTATGACTTAATTTATGTTTATATTTTCCTTTTAATGAATTCTACCCAAAATTTCCTCCCTCCTTCTCTTTCATTTTGAGCAAGAAGGGAAAGTCGAAGAGGAAAGATTGGCGAGAGATACGAATATTTTTTAATTATATAAATTATTAGAAATTTTTAATAAAATTAAAAATTAAAATAAATATTATTTTTATTGAAATATGATAAAACTTATTTTTTTATATTAATTTTGTATTTTATGATTATTTTTAATATATATATATATATATATATATATTATTTTAAGTCGTCTAAACATTAAAAGGTAAGATTTAAACTTTAAATTATAATTTAATTTGATGAAGCTTCATATGAATTAAAACTTAAAAGTAAATAAATTTTACTTGTTGTATGCATTATTTTTATCAACCTGAATCATATTTTAAAATTTTAATTTAGCTCATTAAAATTTAGCCCGTTTTGTGAAGTCCAATTACTTTGCATCAGTAAATATTAACTTTAGCCTTCAGTTAATTAATTTAGAAAGTTTTACATTTATAAAGAAAGTATTCGAGTACCATACTCACTAGTAAGATACTGCTATTTATGTTTTTAGATTTTTAACGTAAGTAAGGATGTCATGCATATTTATTATCATTTAACCTTTATTTAATAATTTTGTTAAATCTTATGTTTATGTTTTAGATTTTTATTAAGGATATATTTAAAATTTAAATTAAGAGAATTATACATTATTGATGATGATAAATATATAATTAGTATACTAAATTAATATAAATATATTAAATTATATATTTTATTTAAAAATATTAATTTTAGATATATTTAATGAAAATAAAAAAATTACTTTTCCTTCTTCTTCCTTCTAAAACTTCCTTTCCTAAAAACATTAAAATAAAGTATTATAAGATAAAATATAATTATAATATTAATTAAATAATTAAATTGTAATAAAATATACACACTTTAAAAATGAATTATGGAATTATTAAAATAATAATCATTAACATTTTAATTTATTAATATAACAACACTTTATAAAATGCTTTTCTCTTGCTTTAAAGAAGATAATTCATTTCGCTTTAGAGATGTGATACCTACATGAAGAGAAAGAAATACATGCTATGTGCAGATTAATACTACTCTCTTTCTACAAAATAATAAAAACAAAGGGTTTAAAATATAGAAATATTAGTTTAAGTAATAGGTTAGCAAGTACACCTGTTAGCTTCCGAATTGTTGAACTACTGTGAAGTTATGAACCAAGCCATTCTTATGGAGGTTGATTTTCATTATATTATATTAACTATTGATCAATTCAAAGATTAAAGAGGGCCATGACATTATAATGTTCTTGTGACAATAGGAAAGACCCTTTATCCAAGTCAAAACTCCTACCCCATTAATCAAACAAGATAGAGGTGAAAATGGACACACTCTTAGATTATTAGGCTTTACTATGATAAATATTTGGTTTATTCTATAGATTTAAAGGTGAACATACAATTTATCCATTTGGTATAGACCTTTTTTTAAGTTTTAATTTAATATTTTGAAATTTTATTTAAAAGTTTTTTTTTGTATTTTTTTTAAATTAATTAATATCTTAAAGTTAATAGATAGAATTTAAGTACACTATTTTTTTAAAAAAAACTGACGTATGTTATTAATATAAATTTTTATTTTTAATCAAAATAATATTAAAAAATTTTCAGAAAATATATGTACTTAAATTTTATCACATTCTAACGGGCTTAAACTTAATTCAAGTGATTGAACTTTAAAATAGATTAAGTTATACGTAATATTAAAATATTAATATTATTATTTTTGTGGGTTAAAATTAAATAAAACTATATGTCAAACTTAGTAAAATACTATATTTAATAATTTTGTATCAAAACTGAATTTTATCAATTTAACTTTGGATTCTTGTAATATTGTTATAAAAATTATGTAAAATTTTACACAATTTATATATACTTATAAATATTAAATTAATAATAGTTATTTATTTATATTTTATCTAATATTTAAACCATGTAAAAATTTGTAAATTTAATTTACTTCATATGAACATAATTAAATTATTAAATAAATAAATTTTATTTTAATAAAAATTATTAAAAAATGAATTTTATTAATTTTAACATTAAATGTCAAATAATTATGACTCTATTATTATTATTTAAATAAGTTTTTTTACTGATACTTTTTGAAATAGTCCAAAGTTCATAATGTTGTTAATTAAATACATTTTTAAAAAAAGTCTTACCTAATTTATTTAATAAACAATTCAAATGTAATTTAGGTTGAATGCGGGTTTGGTCATAAGTCTTTGTTGAATAATCTGACTTATTTATATGTTTAGATTTAGCTGTGTGAATCTGTGCAAGTTAAAAGATAAAGAAATAAAGTACAATTACAGTTATTAATTAAAGAAACTAATATTTAAAATTTTAATGAATTCAAATTTTATTATAAATATTTTCATTTTTTATCAAACAATTTTTACCATTATTTTTTTTAAAGTTAATAATTGTAATTATTATCCTTTATCTTTCAAAATGCATAATTTGTGTTTCAGAGGAGTAAAACTCCTTATAACCTGTCATTTTTCTAATTTTTAAAAACAAAAAAATAACTAGGAAAAACTTAATTATCGTTGATGCATATTGTGGCCCAAGCATCTTAATGTTTTATCTTTAAAAAATAAAAAAAATAGAAAAATTGATCTGACTGATGTTTGAGAGTGGACCTAATTATATGATTATGTGTCATAATAATTTTCTGGTCCTTCACTCGTTGAGACCCATTCCGTCGACGTTAAAACAATAAAACATGAAACTCAAGTATCATCATACATTATTATTGATTACCTTTTTTATTTATTACATTAATTTATGTATTTTAATTCTGATTTCAGTTAAGCACACCTAATGATTGTGATTAACAGCGAGGTGTTCCTAATCTGCAAGAATGGTCAATAAAAACGGGAAAAGTCCAAAAGAAAAAATAAAAATAAAAAAGAAAAGAAAAGGAAGACAGAAAAGAAAGGGAGGGGAAAAAGGAGAGCTGGAATCACATGGACTTGTCTTTCTCTTGCTGGGTCCTCCATTTTCTTCTCTTCCTTCACACTTTCTCTCTCACCATTTTCTTCTTCTTCTTCTTCTTCTTCTCTCTTTCTTAGATTCCTCCTCTTTTCTCTCCCCTCTGCCATGGCTGAGGATAAGGTACTTTCCCGGGAAAATTTATTCCTTTTTTTTTTTGAACTGATTGTTTGGTTGGTGAGAAAGCTGAGTGACCCAGAAATGGGAGAGTTGAAAATGTCTTGTGATTTTTGTTTTTGTTAAGAGGATGAAGCTAAACTCATCTGCGATTTGTTATTTTTTGTTCTGTGTTGCTTTTTTTTTTTTTTGTTTACTTCATCAGTTAGCGAAAGGTACGTTAGGGTTTGTTGTTGGGGAAATTCAGTTTCCTCGCTAAAAGTTTGGTCTTTGAGCTTGACGCAGAAGACCCATTTAGATTAGTTTCGTGTTGATCTATGAGTTTCATTTATTTTTTTTTTCCTTCCTTTTTTTTGGCTGGAAAGGAGTTTTGTGCTGCGTTGATGATTTGTTTGTTGCTGAGACTTGTAATCAGATCATGCTTCTTATCCGATGATGTTAGACTCTCTACGAAATTTTTGGGTTATTGAACTTATGATCGTTTCCTAGTTATTCACCAGATTCGTTGTTTTTTTTTTCCCTTTAACTTCTGTTTCTGGTCATTAAATTTTTATCCAGTTTTTTTGTACTCTGCTGATAGCTTTTGTTTTAATATATTTTAGCAATACAATAAGTGTGTTTCCGTTGGTTCTTACCTTCAACATTTTCACCTGAAGCTTGTCCTCTGATCACTTGAAGGGTCTTTAATTTTGTTTAGCCGCTTATTTCCACCACCGGATTTCCGTAATATCATCCTGAAGCTGCTTACCTGATTTTTTAATTCTTTTGTTATATCTTTAATGAAACTTAAAATTTGAGTATGAGATTTGCTGTTAAAATGTGATATTTTAATTGTGTATTTTGTTGATATCGAATGTTTACTTAACTGTTTTTAATCTGAATTGGTTTAACTGCATTCCTTCAAACTTCTGAAATATTTTGTCAAAATGTTAAAATTCTAATGCTCCTGCACCTTTTCATAAACGCTACAATTTTAACAGGAGATGTCTACTTCTGTCATCAATGGCAATGATTCCCTCACTGGTCACATCATATCTACAACAATTGGAGGCAAAAATGGGGAGCCCAAACAGGTATTATCTTTGTGAATTCCATTCTACTACCGATAATATTACACTTAATTTGAATTATTTGCTGGGTTGTTAAAAATGCTATATGACATTTATCCTGAATTATGTCTTGTATATTTTTTCTTGTAGACTATCAGTTACATGGCAGAACGGGTTGTAGGAACTGGATCATTTGGAATTGTTTTCCAGGTATGCTAATAGCCTAATACTAGATTCCTAACTTTTGCTGTCTCCACATATTTTGCACATGCTGATAATGTTTATTCTTAGGCAAAATGCTTGGAAACTGGGGAGGCAGTGGCCATTAAAAAGGTTTTACAAGACAGAAGATATAAGAATCGTGAACTGCAGTTAATGCGTGTGATGGATCATCCAAATGTGATCTCTCTGAAGCATTGTTTCCTTTCCACTACTAGTACAGATGAACTTTTTCTTAATTTGGTGATGGAATATGTTCCAGAGTCTATGTATAGAGTCTTAAAGCACTATAGCAATGCTAATCAAAGAATGCCAATCATCTATGTAAAACTTTATATGTACCAGGTATGCCTCATACTTCTGGTGATTTGCAGATATCTGATTTATGTCTTGCTGCCTGACATAAGTCTGTGGCATGCATTCAGATTTTCAGGGGCTTGGCTTACATCCACACTGTTCCCAAAGTTTGCCACAGAGATTTGAAGCCTCAAAATATACTGGTTTGTTTAAATGTTGTTGAATATATATTGCATGTCAAAATGCATTCTTACTAGTGGTAATTATTGCTGGCTCTAATGGTGTTCTATATATATATTCCAGGTGGATCCTCTTACCCACCAAGTGAAGCTCTGCGATTTTGGAAGTGCGAAAGTTCTAGTATGTTGACCTCTTTATTTTGCTTTAGTATGCCTAGTATTTTTTTTTTCAATCTTCTCTACGCAGCATTGTCTTTTATATCCATCAAGCATTAACTTTGAATCTCAACCAATAAATTATCCATCAATTGTCATAAAGTTTTGACACTGTAGATGAATAGGGTCTAATTTTGACATTGTTTTGATTGCAGTCTCTTGTGTTGGTGTCTTACACTGCCCAACAGCAAGCTGTGGAGCTCTGTTTTTTTTTTTTTTTCTTAAAAAAAATTCTATCAGCTCAGTGGCGTCATCTTGATCCACGTAGCTAACTTTATCTAGTAGAATATAGCTTTGTTCTTATTTTTAAAGATTTCTGTCTTATCATATTGAATATTTTATGTTTCTGGCTCTTTGTGGAAAATGGCATATTTTGATTTTTTTGAAGGTTTTTGTCATGTTCTTTTTGCATTCAGCTTATGTTTTAGTGAGACTACTAATCTTACAATATCCAGGATTGTTGTGTACTAACTTCCAATTGTGTGATCAGGTCAAAGGTGAAGCTAATATATCATACATATGTTCACGATTCTATCGAGCGCCAGAACTTATATTTGGTGCCACAGAGTATACAACTTCAATTGATATTTGGTCAGCCGGTTGTGTCCTTGCCGAACTTCTTTTGGGCCAGGTTTATGACACTGACTTGTTTCCATTAATTATTATTACTATAATTCTATAATATAGATGTACCACAAAATGATGTAAATTTTCTCTTAATTATCTGCCTCCTATGCGTTATCTGAAATAGTTTGAACTTTTGCAGCCATTATTCCCTGGTGAAAATGCAGTAGACCAGCTTGTACATATTATAAAGGTGCAATTGGTGTTACTTGTATCTTATAGTTCATAGTCATGCCATCCTTGTCAATATAAGTCACCTCCATAAAATTTTGTATTGCAGGTGCTTGGCACACCCACTCGAGAGGAAGTACGTTGTATGAATCCCAATTATAATGACTTCAGGTTTCCACAAATAAAAGCGCACCCATGGCACAAGGTCTGTATTTTTGTCTCCTTTGAGACAGTAGCTTTTTTGGATGATCAAAATATGATTAGCATTAACATATTCATGGATATTTTCTCTAACGCTTCAAGTGTATGTAGATATTCCACAAAAAGATGCCTCCAGAGGCTATTGATCTTGCATCTCGGCTCTTGCAATACTCCCCAAGTCTCCGGTGCTCTGCGGTTAGTGCAGTTGGCTGTTTTTTTTTCCCCTTTCTGTATTCAAACTAATTTACTATTGCTTTACACACATCATCCTACATTTCTTTTGAATTTGATTAATCGATGAAACTATTCTTTAGAAAAACTGCCACAGCAATTTGAGAAGAATATGTTTTTGTTATGCAGCTTGAAGCATGTGCACATCCTTTCTTTGATGAACTCCGAGAACCCAATGCTCGCCTGCCAAATGGTCGTCCATTTCCCCTTCTATTTAACTTCAAACAGGAAGTAAGTCCTTAAAATATCTTTCTTGGCCATACTTTTGCTCTAGCAGTAGTATTATACACATTTCAAGACTAGAAATAAAATTGATCCTAATTTTCACCAAATTCACTTGGGTTCACAAAGCAATGCATCCTAGTTAAACATAAATGATGAACAACTATATTGTTATTCTCCCTGTTTACAGTTATCCGGAGCATCTCCAGAGCTTGTTACTAAGTTGATACCTGACCACATGAAGCGGCAAATAGGGTCACAATTTGTTCATCTGGCAGGATCATAATGATAAGCTTAGGAAGGCATAGTGTATACTAGTTGATAAGTTAAAACAAAAGTAGCACCGTTATTTTTGTCTAAATTACCATGTTCTGTGGCCTGGCCAGTGTAGTTTGAAGCTAAACCTGGACTGAGACTTGAGATTCTGGATGGCTGCAGTTGATCCATCAGTATATGTTTACCATATGATTCTCTGTTGCTTCTACTGGTGGGTCTTTATTTCCCCAGGCAAATATTAGCCTTTTTCCATCCATGTTTATTGCAAACTTCTACATGTCATATAGTCACTATACTTGGCCTGCAATGGTCAGAACTCACAATGCTTCTGTAAAGGGAAAACTAAACCCTTAGCTGGAAGGAGGATCCAGGATGGGTCTTGTGAGTTTTGATGGTGGGCTATGTTGGTTGTTGGGTTTTGTTTCCTCACGTCACCATGTTAATATGTGCATGATTTGCAATGTCGCAGACCCGTTTTTTTTCCTTGTTTAATGTAATGCGCTATCTACCTGTTTTCTTTAATGCTACTTTCTAATGTTTCACATTCTTTTTTTTTTTTTCTTTGTTGAACTTGAATTCTTAAGTTTTATCTCTTTTGATGTTAACAGTGCTCATGTTTTTTATGTTGATAAAATAATTAAATTATTTTAAAATATGTTGCAAGACACGTTACTTGAACCTTTTCTCTTATAATTGAGTTACTCTCAAGTAATGTATGTAAATTCATGTGATTTTTTTTCAATATTTGTTATAGAACGATAAAACTACTTGCAAACAGCGATGTTCCCGAATTGGTTAAGGATTCTGTACATGAATTTTCTTAAAAGTAAAAGCATAACGAAAGCTTCAAAATCTAAATTGGCAACAATTTACAGATTTTGGAGTTTTGGTTATGCTTATTTAGTATATATGCTTGGATGTTACCCCAAGCATATTTAGGTCGAGAGAAAACAGCGTAAATAAGGTTGTTTATCTTTGCAATCTTAAGGAGACAAGTCAATTTTTTTTAGAAAATACCACTTTCAGTGTTGTATATAAATAAATTACCTGCCTTATAAGAATTAAAAAAAATAATAGAATTAATTCGTGCAACTTTTCCCAAATTATTGTTAAAATTATTATAATTTTGCTTTCTTCATTTCTCCACTTAACGCATCTTCACCAGAGGTTATAATTAATGCATAGACAATTTGGAGGTTTTTCTTTTGATACAAAATAGTCAATAACTTTTCCCAAAAAAAGAGATAAGAGGTAATATTATTTTTAAAAGAGGATTTCTTTTAAAAATAATCATTTGTTCTCAGTTGTGTTGAACTAATGCAATTAATCCGTTATGTATAAATTTCCTATGGTTGATTTTGAGTGAAAACTCACTCATAACAAAACTAATGTTCTCTGAATCCCCAAAATCTCCAAATAAATTAGATACCAGATACCTCCAATGTGATAACTTCCAATCCTTTCAAAACTAGTTACATCAAAGCCATTAGAAGTGATGGGAAATTATGATGTCATTTCTATGTTATACTAACAAGTGGTAGTGATAGTGAATTGGATTGAATGGGTCCTAAAGAGATATAAAAATTATAGGATCTAATATATTTAATAATACTAAATATTAAAATTTTTTAATAAAAAATATTTATTATTTTTATTGTGGGATTGAATAAACCTAAATTGGAATTGGTTCTCTGGACTGTGGTTGAAACAAAATCATGGCACCATGGAAGATAATAAAAAGATAGTGGTAATATTGGCATTCCACAGTCAAAGCATTGAGCTCCGAGATATGCAATTGTGAAAATATATAAACCAGCTAAGCTAACTATCAAATTTCGCGCCTCGAGCCCCCACTAACATACGATCGCTTATACTCTCTCAATCATCAACGCTAACCCCTACTTACATCTTCACCGTCCATTCACCATAAACAAAAAATCCAACGCTTATAACGGACTAAATAGTCAACGCACGGTGTCAGATCACAAAAATCACGTGACTATCCGCACAGGATCAAAGCCATGACGTTAAACACTGTTGTCAACCACACAGACCATGCGACAATCACTGTCATGTTCCCAAATCTCGAGTTGTTCTTAAGATCTTCATCACACTTCAATTTTTTTTTGTCTTTCTTTTTGCAACTTCGCTTCTCTCGAGGTAGCCAGCACGGGAGATTTTCCAAAAGGGTGTGCTTGTTTGTTTATATGCTCTTCTAAGAGCTCAGAACCGAAGATCCCAGTTAAAAAGTTTTCAACTTTGTTGGTTCCCACTACTTGAATTGGTTTTATCGTTTCATGGGAGGTGTCAGAGTGGTTGCTTGGCTCATTTCCTTCTTTGTGTGGAATTGGGTGGCAATGGTTGTTGAGGGCACTGATAGCCTTCTCTCTCCAAAGGGTGTCAACTATGAAGGTTTGGCATTTTCCCCGGTTTCTTGTTTCTCATCTTTCTAGCTTTGTTTTGGGGAGAGATTGTTTGTTGGGTTGTGTTTTGACACGCATTTGGTGTGGTTTAGTGGCTGCTTTGATGTCCCTGAAGAGTAAGATGAATGATGAGTTGCATGTGATGGATGGTTGGGATATTAATTCGGTTGACCCTTGTACTTGGAACATGGTTGGTTGCTCTGCCGAGGGTTATGTCATTTCCCTGTAAGCTTTTTTGTATCACTTTTGATTGCTTACTGCTTTTTTTGGGCTGTGAAGTGTGTAACATTTTACATTTTAGCATAATCGTCTCTTGGGAAGAGTGGTGTCTTCTGATATCTGATATATGAAGGGTAATTGATGCATTCATTTTCAATTGGCAGGGAAATGGCCAGTGCAGGTTTATCTGGAATGATTTCCTCAGGAATTGGAAATTTGAGCCGCCTCCAAACATTGTGAGTTGCCAAAGACACCTTGTTTAATGTGTCTCTTGTTACCATCTTGCCGTGATAGTTTTCTAATTGTGATTGTCTTGTAGTTGTAGAACTTTTTTCTTTTTTTTTTCGTATTAGATACATATAATGCTAGGAGAAATATACTGGGTCAAAAAATAAAGAGTAATGCTAACCTCGGTTCATAGGATTGAGTTTAAACATTTAAAAATAGTAATTTTTTTTAACTGAAAAACGAAGCATTTATTACACTTTTATAACTTCAATGTAATAAATGTATTTTTTTAATGAAAGTTTGCTAATTTTGGGTGCTTAGACTCAGCCCTAATGGCTGAGATTAACAAAAGTCAAATAAAACAGACCATTTATAATATCCAGCTTTTCTTATCAAAGTTTTTCCATTGTATTATCTTAGGTTATTGCAGAACAATCAGTTATCTGGTCCTATTCCGACAGAGATAGGAAAGCTGTTAGAGCTTCAGACCCTTGACCTTTCTGGTAACCAGCTTGTTGGGGAAATTCCTAATTCTTTGGGCTTTTTGACTCAACTTAGTTACTTGTGAGTGTGGTGTGATAAATAGATTTGCAATAACGATATTCTCATTACATATTTGGTTTATTCATTAGCCTTTCTCTAATTGTTTACCTCCTAATTTATTCATGCCAAGTATTTCAGGCGGCTCAGCAAAAATAAACTATCTGGACAGATCCCTCAACTTGTTGCTAATCTCACAGGCCTTTCATTCTTGTATGTGCTTTATCACAGTTTAATTCTAATTTTGCCTCTTAAATCCTTAGAAGTTAATTTCATTACCGTACCATATGTTGTAGGGACTTGTCGTTCAATAATCTCAGTGGTCCCACTCCAAAAATTTTAGCAAAAGGTTATAGGTGAGTTTTTTAACGCTAGAGGATTTTGTCATCATATTTGCCGGTAAATTTTAATCTTCTTAACGAAAGAAACAAACTTGTACTAGTTGTGTGTTCAGTGGTTACTTACAAAGATACTGCAATGGTTCACTCAATTAATACACTAACCAGTACTTCATTGAAGCCCTTTCGAGGATTATTTGTTCATAATTTATTGTAGGGGATGGGAAATCCTTGCTCAGTTGAATAAATAATCCATGACAATAATGATGGTAACTTGTGTTGTAAGTCTAATACAAAATGTATTATCTTTTGTTCAGAAAATGATGTTTCTTTTTAAATTTTGATTGGAAAGTAGAATACTACATATTCACAGTAGTGCTATTACTGTAACTAATTTCTAGGAAACTTGTAGATTGCTAGAGCCTATTTCTTGGAAACCAGCATATGGTGTTAATGGTTAACTAGAAGAAACAAATCTGACAATTTCAAGTAATTTATGATATATGAAGCTGAAAACTAATACCATAGCTATAGACTCTTGAGGAGCCTGGTTATTGTCATGTCAGAAATAATTATTAGCTTAGTTTTTTGGGGTTCTTTGTAGTGTTTAACCCTTTGTTGCATGCACCATCTTGTTTCTTGTATTACTTGACATTTTACTTCTTTGGTCATAGTGTTTCAGGAAACAACTTCCTCTGCACGTCTTCCTCACAGAATTGTATGGGCTTTTCAAAACCAGTAAATGGTAATATACATTTAAATTGTCTACTAAAATCCTAATAATCAGTGGATTATAGTAAACGCCAATGATGATTCAATTACAGATACAGGGTCATCTCGGAAAGTCAGTAGTCATCACCAAAGGGTTCTTGCTGTTGTTATTGGCTTTAGTTGCACATTTTTTATTTCGGTGGTGCTTCTTGTCTTTTGGTTTCATTGGTACAAATCACGTATCCTCTATACATCTTATGGTACTTCCTGATATGAACTTGCTAGGTTTTTCCTTCCCTTGGAATATGTACATATCTGACAAAACATAATGTTTGACATTGAAGTGGAGCAAGATTGTGACTTTGATATTGGTCATTTGAAGAGGTTCTCCTTCCGCGAATTGCAAATTGCTACTGGAAATTTCAGTCCAAAAAATATCCTAGGACAAGGTGGTTTTGGTGTTGTCTATAAAGGATGCCTTGCAAACAAAATGTTGGTGGCAGTAAAGAGGCTGAAAGATCCTAATTACACTGGAGAAGTGCAGTTTCAAACTGAAGTTGAGATGATTGGCTTGGCTGTGCATCGGAATCTCTTGCGTCTTTATGGATTTTGTATGACACCAGATGAAAGGTTACTTGTTTATCCTTACATGCCCAATGGCAGTGTTGCTGATCGCTTGAGAGGTTTGTTTCATATTGTTCATGTCTGTGTTTGAGGCAGTGTCAAATAATGTAACTGTGTAACTTAGCAGATACATGCCTCTTCTTACAGTGGAAATCATAAGAAAGCTATGTCCTCAAATCAATGATGTTTAGTGATTCCAATACCTGGGATGTCAGCAACTAGTGATTTTTTTTTGTGTTTGTTCATGCAGTGTGTCATTTTCAAGTGGCAGTGCATGATCTGTAATAATTATTAAAATGTTTAGCTGGGTCTATATCAGAAAAAGTTACTGTAATACCCCTACAATTCATGCAGGATCTTTTATTGAATACATATTTTCCTACATTAAATCCAGTATTTCTAGATTTTAATGGATTTTCTCTCCTCTCATATAATGAAGCAGAGACTCGCCGTGAAAAGCCA